CCCTCAGCAGTGCTGCCATCGCTTGTCTACTTGTGTCCATTGCTCTCATGAATGTAGGCTCCTGCAGGGAGCCCAGCACCAGCACGGTGACAGGCACACTGCACACTCCCACCTGTGTCTGCGGAGTCATGAGTGGGTCAGAACTCAGGCCAGGGCTTCAGGCTCCAGAGCCCAGACCTGCCCAGTAGACACCATGGTTTTTCCCCTCGACACCCACAGCCGACTGTAAGAAATGCCACAGCTCCCTAAACGGATGTGACGGAAACCATGGGAAGGGGTGCTGAGGAGCAAGTCAAACCCCCAGACAGAGTGAATTGAGAAGGCTTCCTATAAAGAGTGAGTTTTGAGCCAGACTTTTTTCAGCTTTTAAATTATGTTCAGACCTAGCTGGTTTGGCTCAGTGGATAGAGTGTCGGCCTGTGGACTGAAAGGTCCCGGGTTCGATTCTGGTCAGGAGTGCATGCCTAGGTTGCCGGCTTGATCCCTAGTAGGGGGCGTGCAGGAGGCAGCCAATCAATGATTCTCGCTCATCATTGATGTTTCTATCCCTCTCTCCCTCTCCCTTCCTCTCTGAAATCAATAAAAAGATATTTTAAAAAATAATGTTCAATTATGAATATGAAAATGTAGAAAATTTGGAAGAATAGTGCAATAAACACCCATAAATCCCCCCTAGATAAAACAGTTGTTAGCATTTTGCCGCATTGCCCTGTGCGTGTGTGCATATACATGTAATGTTCTCTGAGGATTTGAATGTGGGACATTGCAGACATTATAATGCTTCAGCCATGAACACGTCGGCTACTTGTCATTATTCCCCTATAACCCTAATACCATTTTTATACCTAAGAAAATCAACACGCATTCCCTAGCCCTAAACTCATATTCAAATTTCCCGAAATGTCCTAACTTTTTCTTAAACAAGGATTCAAGCAATGTTCCTACAGCAGAGGCAGATTGTCGGTGCTGTTGACTGAATGGGAAGCAGTCATTCCTCCCCGGAAGGTTCCGGAGTCACCACGGTGCATGCTACCAGGGCCGGGGGGAGCAGGAGTGAGGGGCCTTGAAGCGAACACTGGGGAGTTTGGCTCTGCCAGGGGTTAATCCAGAACAAGGGGGGTAGGTAGAATTCCAATTGTGCAGAGCACTCAGCAAAGACCACCCTGCTCTTCTGACGAACCTCTGAGTGTCTTTTTTAAAAATATATATATTTTATTGATTTTTTACAGAGAGGAAGGGGAAGGGATAGAGAGTTAGAAACATTGATCAGCTGCCTCCTGCACACCTCCTACTGGGAATGTGCCCGCAACCAAGGTACATGCCCTTGACCGGAATCGAACCTGGGACCTTTCAGTCCACAGGCTGATGCTCTATCCACTGAGCCAAACCGGTTAGGGCACCTCTGGGTGTCTTTATCAGACCACACCTGCCATCGCTTTCTTCCCTAGACACTCAGTCACAGCTCAAGCTCACACGGGGTCTCAGCTGTGGGTCAGGTTTTGGGGAGACCCTGGGATAAACCTGTGGCTGTCTGGACGGCCCGCCTCTCTTGGCTGCTCTCCCTCCCTCCACCTGCCTCCCTCCTTTGCCCTTAAGAACTTAATCAGACCTGCCAAAGAGCCTCCAGGGAGAACAGCTGGCACCAGAGACAGAAATAGCCAGGCAGAAACCCTGTCTCAGTCCAAGCCTCCAGCTCCGGCCAGGGTTGGAGGCAGAGAGCATGGGGGTTGGGGAAGGAGAAAATTCAGAGCACGCTCCTGTCCCCCTGAGACCCCACCACCTGGGCCAGAGAAGCTAAGCACTCACCGAGCCCAGGAGTCTTTCGGGGTCACCCCACCCTGTCCCTGCCGTCTGATGATGTGGGTTGACCCTGGGAGGAGGGCCCCTCCCCGGCCTACACTCTGGCTTTCTTCTGGCCCAGCCACACCTGAGGTGAGGAGTCTGGGAGATTAAGGAGATGTGTCCATCCTGGGGTCACTTCCCCTCTAGATCAGGCCTTAGGTACTGAGATCCGAAATCCCTTCCCAGACAGTCGCCTGCCCACTTCCTGAGCCTGAGCAGGTGTCCTCCGTGTGCCCAGTTACCGAGGGTGGATGGCATCACCAGTGTGGACCAGCCTGAGGGGATCAAAGGGGCAGCTGTTGGTAGGGTCGTGGGTGAGGCTTGGACGTGAAGGCTGGGGTGCCTCATGCATGTTTGCAAGGCCCCTCGGGGTATGAGAAGGGGAGGGGGGCAGGCTGAGGGCCAGGAGCTGGCTCAGTCCACACTGCCACGTGCCAGCGAAGAACTCGAAGGAGGCCAAACACCCCCAGTTCAAGCCTGACCCTCCAAGGTGCTATAAAGGTATATTGACAAGAAGAAAGAAGTACTTATTTCCTAAGTGCCTAGGCCAGCGGTTCTCAACCTGTGGGTCCCGACCCCTTTGGCGGTTGAATGACCCTCACACAGGGGTTGCCTAAGACCATCCTGCATAGCAGATATTTACATTATGATTCATAACAGTTCAACATTACAGTTATGAAGTAGCAACGAAAATAATTGTATGGTTGGGTCACAACATGAGGAACTGTATTTAAAGGGCCAGAAGGTTGAGAACCGCTGGTCTAGACAGAGAGAGGGACACTGATGAAGGCAGGGAGCTGTGGAATGGCCCAGCACAGTCCCTAGTCCCTGCGGGCACTGTTAACCCATGCGTACTTGGAGTACCCTTCAGGGGGCTGAATGAACCCTCGAAATGACATCTTTTGGTGCTAGGCATCAACCTGATCCAAGTACTGTATATATTTATTTGGCATTGAAATACTCATTATTTTTTATTTATTTTAATTTTTAAAAAATCTTTATTGTTGAAAGTATTACATAGGTCTTCCTTTTTTCCCCATTAACCTCTTCCAGGTTAACCTCACCGCCAGGTCCTCACCACCCCATGGCCTGTGTCCACAGGTTATGTATACATGCATACAAGTTCATTGGTTGATCTATTCACACCCACCCTCCCCTGCCTTCCCTCTGAGGTTCAACAGCCTGTTCCTGCTTCCATACTCTGGCGGACCCATGTACTTTAAAATGCAGGCACTCCAGGAAGGGTAGTATGCCATACAAGGCCTCCCTCTGCCTGAAGCGATCGAATCCCTTGGCCTGGTGCTCAGGACGGCCCACGGCCCACTCCATCGCCCCCTTCCCCATGCTCCTGCCCAGCTCCGGTATTCTGAACACACGGCGTGGCTAAGGACTGAGCAGAGGAGGCCCTAACTGCCTGGACCCCAAGAGGAGGGTCTGCCGGTCAGTCTTTCCCTCCCAACTCCCAGGAGGACTCAGGGTAGAATCTGAGGCCCCCTCGGGTGACAGGCTCAGGCTGCGTGGAGGGGAACGGTTTTCAGATTTCCTAATTTTGACGATTGCTAAGGGAACTGGCTGTTCAAGTCTCCATGGGTAAGGAGACAATTTGATTTGTGCCACTCCAGAAGGCAACTTCTACCCCGTAATCATGTTCCCATGTGTGCCTGATTCTCCAGCATGAACAACTCATGTCTGGGCTGAGCATTGTGGGTGCAGAGAGGTGGGAGGGCTGCCTAAAGCCTGTGTGTCCTCAGGAGGTGACACAGGCCTCACGGCCAAGCTGTAGAGACTGAGCTCATAGAATCTCTTTACTCCGCACCAGGGGAGTCTGGGCAGGAAGAGGACAAATGGTTCAGAGAAAGGGGAGCCCCTGGAGGGGAAAAGGCACAGAAAGGGGAGCTGGGGTACCTCGGAGATCCACTCAGATTTTAGTCCAGGAGTGGCACTTACCTTCACTGCTGTCAGGCACAAACCCTGACAGGCAGCAGGGCATGCCTGAAAGGGCAGCTCATCCACCCATTCACCCATTCATTCATTCACCCATTCATTCATTCACCTAGTCCAGTGGTCAGCAAACCGCGGCTCGTGAGCCACATGGCTCTTTGGCCCCTTGAGTGTGGCTCTTCTACAAAATACCATGTGTGGGCACGCACATACAGTGCAATTGAAACTTTATTAAGTTAATTTTAGGGAATGTTGTGGAGTGAAAGAAGATATTAAGTTAATAACAATGTACCTACCTGTATAGTTTGTTTAAAAAATTTGCCTTTTAAAAGAAATTTCAATTGTTGTACTGTTGATATTTGGCTCTGTTGACTAATGGGTTTGCCAACCACTGACTTAGTCAGTCAGTCAGTCACCAAACCATATTGAGCAGGTCTGTGTGAATATGCTGATGGGTTAGGGTCCTGCCTTCACACCTGATGCTCCTTGCAGACCAGGTTGGGGCCCTCCACCTGGGAACCTTCTCCCTCAGTCCATGTGTCTGAGGCCGCACTCACCCTTCCCCGCTCTCATCCACGAAGCCTTCTGTGGTCCCTTTCATCATCTGGAGTCACTCCTTCCCTCCCCCGGCCGTACCCACTCTGTGCTTCACCAGCCATGTCGACTTCTTTCCACTGATGTGATGGTTCTTACTCATCACGCCCTGCGTCACTGGAGAGCAGGCCCCTGACAGGCTTTCCCACTTGTGGTCCTGCACAGATGTGCACACAGTGCTGGATTAGTGCTCCCAAATGAATGAATGAATGAATGAGAGCTAAATGAATAAATGAATGGAAGGTAAGTTGTGTCTTTTGCAGGATGATGTCAAGCCCATACTATTCTAAGCGTCCTTCAGCCACAGGCTGGGACGTTTAGAAACTTAGGGTATTTTCCTGTTAGGTTGACATAGTATGTAAGCATCTGTGTTGTGTGTGTGAATTTTTGCCCTTCAATCGTAGGGATAAGATTGTACTCAGCCATTCACAGTAGGTTTCCTTCTTTGGCATCAGCAGGGATTCAGGAGGCAGTTTCTCTGGGCTCAATTATCTGGATGTTTTAGGGATTACTATAACCATGGATGTATCTCACTTTTATGGGGTGCTTACAACATGCCAAGTTTATTCACAACCGGTGCTCACAACAGCCCCACCTTGTCTTACAGAATTAGAAATGATTGCTCAGAGGGGTTAAGCGACTTACTCGAGGACACCCAGCTGTGAGGACGGAGCAGACTTTCTTACTGGGATCCCAGCTCCCCTCCCTCCTCCTTGCTCTTCCCACCCTAACCGGCAGAGGGGCCCAAGGAAGACACAGGCACTCTGCCCTGTCTCAGCAGGGCCAGGGGGCCATGTCCCTCATCCCGTGGCTCCGGTGGAACGAGGCCCTGCCCCGGCTGTCCTCCCGGAGCCCGGCTGAGATGGTGCTGGAGACACTCATGATGGAGCTGGCAGGGCAGATGCGCGAGGCCGAGAGGCAGCAGCGGGAACGCAGCAGTGCGGGCAGGAAGATCTGCACCGGAGTGGACTACAGCTGGCTGGCCAGCCCGCCCCGGGCCACCTACGACCTCAGCCCTGGTGAGCGGCTGCAACTAGAGGATGTCTGCGCCAAGATCCCCCCGTCCTACTGTGGGCCCGCCATCCTCAGGTAACCCTGGCCCTGGCATGGGGCCCAGCTGTTGGGCTGCAGGCTCGCTCCAGGGAGGGTGGCTGCAGTGGCAGGGCCTGGGGTTACCAGGACTGGGGCCAGGGGGCCTAGATGACCCATCGTCTGTTAGAAGGAGCAAGGCAGGAGGAGGAATCTGGAAGAGGCCCTGGAACATCAGGCCGTGCTAGGGGCTCAGAGGGAGGCAGGGTGGCTCCTGGGTCCAGGCTCATGAGTTTTGATAGGAGAGAACCCCAGGCTTTTGACTTTCTGGTCTCCCTGTCCTGATGGTCATTGTCCTGGATTTTAACAAGCTGGGTCCTTCTCCATTAGTTCATCCTCCACTCTACCTTCTTAGAGAGGTTTTCCCAAATAACAGTTATCCTATTTCCCAAAAGCGTGCCTAAGGTGTGTGTGTGTGTGTGTGTGTGTAAGGGGTTGCAGAGCCCTAGGGCACGGAACATTAAGAGCTTGGGTACAACAATATTCCTGAATATAAGTGTAACCTTAACAAAACCATGACCTACATAGTCCAGCATCAGATGGATTCCTGTTGAAGTCAAAGAAGCATTAGTCCCATTTCAAAAGTAACTCGGTTTTTTTATCTGCATTTCTCAAACACTAGTAAAGAGATACAGATCCACAATAAAACATCTTAAAATACCCCCCTTAGATCCCCAGAATCTCCTCTCACCCATCTTTTTTTTAAATATTATTTTTCTTATTGGTTTCAGAGAGGAAGGAAAAGGGAGAGAGAGAGAAACATCAACGATGAGAGAGAATCATTGATCGGCTGCCTCCTGCACGCTCCACACTGGGATCGAGCCTGCAACCTGGGCATGTGCCCTGACTGGGAATCGAACTATGACTTCCTGGTTCATAGGTCAACGCTCAACCACTGAGCCGCACTGGCCGGGCTTCTCTCACCCATCTTTAACGAGTGTATCTATTGTACACCTTTTTCTCTGAAATGCCCCTTAAAAACTCTTCTCGAGTTCTGTCTACACGCCTCTGGATTTTGTTGTCTTTGTAACTCCCTCCCACTTCTTCCTCCGGGCTGCGAATCTTACCCTCTCCATTTTTCTGTACCATGGGGGCCCCCTCCCCCAAATGTATCTATTTCCAGGAGCACCCTGGGGACAGGGGCAGGGGTCAGTCTTGGGGGGGCTGGTGCTGATGAGGGAATCTAACCTGGCAAAGCACACCTCATACATGACGGGAGCCTGGGGACATACCTATGGTGATGGTCCTGTCACATTGGCTGCCTCCCGTCCCTGCTGAGAGCTTGGAGCAGTCCTGACTTAATACGATGGAAGAACCCATGTAGTAAACGACGTGTAACTACCATTCATTAGTAGACCCAGCAGAGACCCTTTAGGCAGAGGAACCAGCAGGGAGCCAGAGAACCTAGGGCTGGGGGCACCTGTGAGACTCCCAGCTGGAGCACAGACCGAGACAGAGCGGGGGACCCGGTGTGCATGGGCAAACAGCCATGGGAGAGAGACCCCTCTGGCCAGCGGGTGAAGAGTAGAGATTGGAGAGAGGGGGTGAGCCGGAAAGCCTCATATCCTGGGAGGTGAAAGCAGTGGGCTCCCTGCACCACACCGATGTGGATAACCAGGGCCAGTGCCAGGGTCTTCCATGTTAGCTCATTACACCCCAAAAAGGTGGCTGTGACCCCGCTTTACAGACGGGGAAGCTGAGGCTCATGGAGGCCTCAAGTGGCAGAGCTGGGATTCGAACTAGGGATGGGCTGGGGCAACAAGGAGGTGGGGTGGCGCCGAGTTACTTCAGGAGAAGTGGGGGATTTGGGACTTGACCTTGGGGGTGCACACGGAAGCCCCCGAGGCCAGGTGCCACCACCAGGTGACCGCCCCTCCCTGCAGGTTCCGGCAGCTGCTGGCGGAGCAGGAGCCTGAGGTGCGGGAGGTGTCTCGGCTCTTTCTCTCGGTGCTGCGGGAGGTGCTGGAGAGGACGAAGCAGGAGGAGGAGGCCCGCAGGCTGACCCGGCAGTGGAGCTTGCGGCCCCGCGGCCTGGCGCTGGCCACCTTCAAGACCCGCGCGCGCATCGCTCCCTTCGCCAGCGACATCCCCACCATCTCGGAGGACGTGGAGCGCGATGCACGGCCCCCGCCCCGGACCTGGAGCATGCCCGAGTTCAGGGCGCCCCAGGAGGACTGACCCCCTGCTCCTGCCCAGGGGCAAAGCTACGTGTGGAGGGGGGGCATGAAAGGCCTGTGACCATCCCAGGTCCTGGAACCTCCTGCCATGGGGCCACGGGCGGCCCCATCCCAAGGCACCCCTGTCAGATGGAGCAAGCCCCTTGCCCACCCAGCCCTCCCAGGGTCAGGGCTTGGAGCTGCCTCTGGGCCCCCTCAGTCCCCTGGGTCTCGGCAGACAGACCAGGGCCCCACCTTCTGCTTCTGGCCGGAAGAGGAAGAATTGCCCTGACTTTTTGCCAACACCTGAGTCCTCACCCCGTCCTTTCACCCCATCTCCCTGGGTAATGAGGGGCCTGTTGGGTGGTGTCCATTCTCTGCTGGTGACTGGAGGGTCCACACTGCAGGTGGGTCCCAGCCTCGTGGGCGAGCAGAGCGGGAAGCGGCCAGAGAGTTCACCGGGTCCACTCTCCTGACTTCCGAGTGAGGACACCAGGGCTCAGAGAAGGCCACGCTTCTCCCACCTTAAACGGATCCCTGCGAGTGGTGAGGTTGTCCCTGTACAGTCTCTGTCCCTGAGTCCTTGAGTCCTGGGCTATGATGGGACAGGTCCGAGGACTATGTCTGCACCTGCCTGTGGTCTGGCTTCTGTCTTACCTTGGCCTTGGTCTGGGGGGCTAAGCTGCTCCCCGAGAAAAGAGCTGGGGCAGAGGTTGGCTGCCGTCACCCCACCCCAGGGTGTCATCTCCTGGGAGGTGGCCAGTCCCCAGCAGCTCCTCCTAGAGCAGTGGTTCTCAACCTTCCTAATGCCGCGACCCTTTAATACAGTCCCTCATGTTGTGGTGACCCCCAACCATAAAATTATTTTCGTTGCTACTTCATAACTGCAATTTTGCTACTCTTATGAATCATAATGTAAATATCTGATATGCAGAATGTATTTTCATTGTTACAAATTGAACATAAATAAAGCATAGTGATTAATCACAAAAACAATATGTAATTATATATGCGTTTTCCAATGGTCTTAGGCGACCCCTGTGAAAGGGTCGTTTGACCCCCAAAGGGTCGCGACCCCAGGTTGAGAACCACTGTCCTAGAGGCTCAGCTCCCCACTAGATGCTTTGGAGAATCCAGGTCTCTGAAGCCGGGGCCCCTTCTGAGTCTGGCCATGCCTGCCCTTTGGCCTGCCCCAGAGCCCATACCCCTCAGTGACCTCAAGGCACCTGAAATGCTGCAGGAGAGCCTCCCCACGGGTCAGAGCTTGATGATGGGCATGCGGAGTCTCCAGTGTGGGAATCACCCATAGTGAGTCCCCACACACTCTGGGCTGTGGGTGTGTGTGTGTTGGGGGGGGGGTGTCTGCCCCCAATTATCCAGGCACTCAGAAAACGCAAGTGAAGCAAGTACCTCGGTTGCAAGCTCGTCCCCGGCCCTGGTTGAGGCGTGTGCAGGAACCAATCTCTCTCTCTCTCTCTCTCCCCATCCCTTCCACTCTTCCTAAAAATGAATGGAAAAGTATCCTCTGGTGAGGATTAACAACAACAAAACTAAATAAATGAAAGATTTCTTTAAAAAAAAGAGAGAAAATGTAAGTGAATCTTTTCTTAAGGCTCAGGCACCAGGGGAGGCAGAGGGGCCCCCCAAAGGCCTCTGGGTTCCCCAGGCTCCTAGTGGTGCTGGAGGCCAAGCCTTTCCTAGAGCCACTCGCCCCGCCCCGGCCTTTCAGGGAGAGGCTCAGGCACCAGGGGAGGCAGAAGGGCCCCCCAAAGGCCCCTGGGTTCCCCAGGCTCCTAGTGGTGCTGGAAGGCTGAGCCTTTCCTGGAGCCACTCGCCCGCCCGGTCCGGGGCGCAGCTGCGGAGGGAGCCAGGTGGGGCCCGTCTTCTGGATGAGCTTCCCCTCCTCACCCGGAAGCGGCTCTGCAGGAATCAGAGCTGAGCGTCTGCGGGGCAGAACCAGGGCCTGCAGATCCACCAGGGCCTGGTCAGGTTCCTCCCCGAGGCCGGGCGGCCTCCCTGGCGCCCCGAGTTCTGCCCCCTCATCTGGGGAGGCCTCAGTGCGTCCTGGGGGAGAGTGCGGCCCCCGCGCTGGGTTTGCAACTGTAAGAGACACTAGGAGCCCTTCTGCGCCATCCCGCCCAGAGAGAGGTAGGTGTGGGCTCCCGCAGAGGCAGGGGGAGAGGGGGCAGGCGGTTGACCGCAGCCTCCACGTTGGTGAAGCTCCGGACCACCAAGGGCCCTATGCAGGTGAATCTTGAAGTAAATAAAATGCCAGGGGAAGAGAAGTCAGCAGGGAAAAATCCACATATTCCCTCACAAAGCTCAGTGGAAAAAAAACTTATTTTCACTCAAATCTGGTCAGAGAATCATAGGATGGTGAAAAACCTCTCACCCAACACTGTCAAGATGGAGTTGATTTTCTCGTTCACATACTTGGTAAAAGTTAAGAATGACTTCAATGAAAATATACATCTTAAACGTCTTAGATATTTTAAGACAAACTATGGCTCATTTAACTGCCCAATTTTTAATGTAGGTCCCAGCTGTGTTCACTTGTGTGTGTGTGTGTGTAAGACACGTGTGGGTTGTCTGATGGGAGTGCTACACCTAAGTTGCATTGGGTTGTGTGTCTTTAATTATAACAGTAAGAACTGGTCCAAACAAGTTTTGGAAAAAACAGAAGAGAACCGTGGTAAGCAGATAACTCAGTTGGTAGGGGCAGAAGTTGTGGAAGAGAATTAGAAAAGGATCTACCAGCCTGGACTTTTCTGGGTGCCCTGGATGTGGGCCAGCAGGAGGAAATGGAGTGTCAGGGCCCACCGGGTGGTGGTCCAGAGGAGGCCAGTTAAGAGAATGTTTCTTTCTCCCCACCCCCACCCCCCCTACATGCGCCTATTCTCCCCAAAGGAAAGGGAGACCCGAAGCTCTCAGTGTTGTGTTGCTTTTTAAGTTGAGGTAACTGACCATCCATGAAGCCTTCCCCGTCCACCTCAGTAAAACAGACGGAACCCACCAGCCTCAGGCTGTCCCGCTGCAGCGAATCCCAATCGGGAATCAAATCTGTGAGATTCAGGTTGTTAAAGGGAGTAATGATGTCCGCCTCAACTTCTAGTTTAAAAACTCCGTCACATATAAAAGAACAAAACAGATGGAGAGGCTCCTAGTGAGTGTGTGATGGCAGCTGTCGGCTGTTGAAGGGGTTGGGGTTGGGGATGCTCAGACTTCCAGGATTACCTGTTTGCATGCAACTCCCCACCACTGGCCACTAGAGGGAGCCAGTGGGGTTGGACCACTCAGCGGTTACATTTTATTTCACTTTGGGTTTTTGTTGTGAACATTTCAAACAGCAAAATAGAGGGAAAGTGTAAGGAGCTCTCATATTCCCATCACTAGGGTTTAATAGTTATTAACATTTTACCATATTTGCTTTCTTTTTTGTGAAGTATTTTCAAATAAATCCCAGACAGCGTGACACTGCACCCCTGAATACTTTAGTATGCACCACAAAGGAATAAGGAAATTTACCTGTGTCACTACAATATCATTACTCCCAACAAAATTAACAGTGATTTCTTAAATATCATCTAATATGCAGTCCATATTCAAATTTCTCTATTCCCAACAAATGATTTTTGCAATTGTTTTTTTAATCCTCACCCGAGAATATGCCCATTGATGAGAGAAAGAGAGCGAGAGAAAGGAAGAGAGAGAGAGAGAGATGTGAGAAACATCGATTGCACCCCCAGGTATGAGCCCTGACCAGGAATCAAACCTGCAACCTTTTGGTGTACAGGACAACGCTCCAACCAATTGAGCCACCCAGCCAGGGCTGCAGTTTATTTCTTTGAATAAGAATCTAATCAATGCACACATTGACAAGAAAGTTGTGATCTGTTTTACTTTTGATCATACTGTGTTAATTTAATTCCACAATGAAGTGTTGTTTAAACTTAGAGCGTTTATGAAACATTAGTATTAATATGCAGGAAGTTGCCCTAACTGGTTTGGCTCAGCAGATAGAGCGTCGGCCTGTGGACTCAAGGGTCCCAGGTTCAATTCCGGTCAAGGGCATGTACCTTGGTAGGGGGCATATCCCCAGTAGGGAGTGTGCAGGAGGCAGCTGATCAATGTTTCTAACTCTCTATTCCTCTCCCTTCCTCTCTGTGAAAAATCAATAAAGTATTTTTTAAAAATATGCAGGAGTTAATGGCTTCCTCTGTAAATTACTCATTCAGATCCTTGTTGTGTCCATTTGATTCAAATTCTTTCAACAGCAACCAAGATTCTTTTTTGTTGTTGTTGTTAATCCTCATCTGAGGATATTTTTTTCCTATTGATTTTTAGACAGAGTGGAAGGGGGCGGAGAGACAGAAAGAGAGAAACATCCATGTGAGAGAGAGAGAGAGACATCGATTGGTTGCACGTGCCCGGACCAGAGCCAGGGATTGAGCCTGCAACCGAGGCACATCCCCTTGACTGGAATCGAACTAGGAACCCTTCAGTCCATGGGCCAACGCTCTATCCATTGCGCCAAACCGGCTAGGTCTGCAACCAAGATTCTTTAATACCTTGAAGTAATGTTAAAAATTGATAGTGACAATACATCTAATTTGACTTCTCATTTGATTAAAATACTCTCCACCTCCATGTGTTTTATTTTCTCAAACATGCTTGCAAATAACCAGCTAAAGCCTTCTCTTTTCCTGCCATTTAGAAACAAAACACTAAAATTTATATTTAAAAAACTTGGGGGAAATCTCAAGAATTCTAAGAGTGGCTAATGAAAAACGTGTATATATATATATTTTTTATGCTATCATTCAACACGTAGTGACATGTCAGTCTGTGATAATATATTCACATGGCTTTCCAACAAAACAGGATATGTTATTTCAAATTTTATTCATCAGCAAATCATTTTTACAGTTATTTTAAATTAATTTAACACCTTGCATCATTTGTTAAATGGGGAAATTGGGAGTTGTTTCTTTTTTGTGAATATTATTACATATTGTATTGATATAAGCAGTTAGGCAGACATGAGCAGAGCAAGGATGATGGACCAGGTACAGAAGGCCAGCAAACCCCAGGTGCCTAATAATGGACAATCACTTGTAGGGAGGGACCTCGCCCCCAGAGTGACTTTTCCTCCCCAAGCAGATGGCTGGGCATGAGGTTTGGACCCCTGACCTTTCCTCCCTGGATATAATAGCGAGGCCTCAGGTGTATTTCAGCTCCAGGCCCAGTTAAGGAGCAAAACCAGCCACGGCTGCGGTCAGGACCAGCTGCATTGAATAATGACCCCCTGCCCTGGTGCCGGCCATTCAGTGGAGACCACAACCCTAAAAGGGCACACCTGGAAAACTGCTGAATATTCTAGTAAGATCTTTCCCTGGGAGCGCCCCTAAAATCTCCACCCTTAAGCCCTTAGGATGGAGGGCCCAATGCACTCTCCCTCTAGGGAGCCCACCCACCTTCCCTTTCCCAGTCCCCCTTCCCCTCCCCTCCTTTAGCTTCCTCCCTCCCAAGCTCCTAGGGCTCTTCCTTTACCTCTATAACTTGTTTCCTCAGCCCATTTCTTCTAGGAATTACGACTTCTGCCTCTGTAAGTTACCAAGTAAATGTGCTCTTACAGTTTGGGTCTTGCTCTGAATTCTTTCCTAGCCAGAACGAGGCTGCTGAGAACCCAAGTACTAAGGTTGCTGAACCCAGGTCCGGTCTGACCCCACAGGTCAGACACCTAGTGCCCTTCCCACAGCCTGCAGCAGCATTAAGCTAGCATACTATATTAGTAGGGGGCTCGCCTAGAAGTAAAACCATTGACTAC